GTGTGTGTGTGTGTGTGTGTGTGTGTGTGTGTGTGTGTGTGTGTGTGTGTGTGTGTGTGTGTGTGTGTCTAACTGTAAACGTGAAAGTGGAGATTGAAGTGGTGTAAATGAGCCGCCGCTTATCGCCTCGGCTGATATCACACATTCCTTCTGATCGTTAAACTCTATCAGGAACAATGCAGATGTGAGCGCTCGCCTCTGACCTGCTTCCACCCCTCCGAATATGAACTTAAAGTGGCCGAGGCTTTTTTCCCTCTGTGTGCGAACAGGAATGTTGGGTCTGTTTGTCTTGCCCCTCACGGCACAGTGAGAGTGTCAGGAGGATTAAAGAGCGAGCGGTCGGACGGCATTCCTCCGCGACTTTCCCCTCCCGCTCCACTCGCTACGCAGACGGCGTCCGGACAGCCAATCCCCCCCCGGCTCAGACTGGAATGCAGCCACATGCTCGGCTCCTGATAAGTTTTCACTGCCGCACACGAGAGTGAAAGTTTACGAGCAAAAAAAGAGAGAAAAATGTAAACCCAAAAGTAAACGCAGGCTTCCCGGGACTTGAGTTTAGCTTCGTTCATTGGACCGCGCTCTGAAAAATGGAAACGAGGCCTCGCAGCAGATCCACCTGTAGCTCCTGCACAAGCTCAACAACCAGGCTGTCCCATCAAACATCAACATTACACACAAATCTGGATGTTTAAAGGAGAAAAACACTGGACTGGGATCGTTTTGACGTGAAATCACATTTTTTAGCACGAAGGAAAAAGATTTGATTTCTTCTGAACACTTCAGGCACACTCAGGAAAACAGAAGTCCAGGATGTTGTAGACGGCAGCAGGTCTGCGACCGCTCTTTGATCCAGTCTGTCATAATACAGAGACCGGCTGAGACAAAGTGGCAGGGCTGATGTGACAGGTGCCCAACATCCCTGCTCTCGTAGAGGATTATAATATAATCTGTTAACATGGAGGGAAACCTCGCAGATGTGCCTGCGATTGTAAATTAGACAGAGATTAATTTTTATCGATGTTTCAGCTTCACACTGAGCTGAAAGGAGAATAGTCCAAATATATGAAGTGATTAATCTGAATACATGTGTTCAGTTTATTGATAAATGGCTGTTCAGTAAATTGAAGTACGTGTTGTTATATTTGGTATTAAAGGTGGAGCCTAAAGATTACAGCTGATTAATATACTACACTACTTACCAAACGCAGTGATTTTCATGAGCTGCCCGCCCTCGTCTGACAGGACTCGGGTTTCAGTGCGGACGTGAGTCTGAGGTCACATGTGTCAGGCGTGTTTACCCAAACGGGAGCAGGACCTGCTGATGACCAGGTCCAGGTGACCTCCCTCGACCATAAAAACCCAGAGGGCACCTCCCCCTCCTGTATAAATTATATATCTGTGTGTGTGTGTGTGTGTGTGTGCACGTTTAGATCTGAAGCGCTGCTTTCAGTGAACATGAGTCCATGTCTGAGAGGGATTTCAGAGGATTACTCGTCCCCTCGGCCTGTTACAGACAAGTGCCTCCCTCCCTGCTCGCTTCCTCATTCCTGCTCTACCTTGTTTTGTCCCTCGCTCGCTCGCTCCCTCTCGGCCCGATCCTCCCTCCCCTCTTCCCTCTCTGAAGAATGTGGACGGGCCGGTTGTTCAGATGCATGCATGACTTACCGATGACGGGCTTTACACGGCTGCTGCCGCCGCCTCCGAGCGCAGCCAAGCTGCACTGGCAGCCGTGACAGGGATCCTGCGTCTCACCTGAAGCAACAGTCGACCCTCGTCGTAGTTAGAGTTGGAATTACTGACACGTTCCACTGACTGCTCGGTTTTTAAAATATCAACCACGACTGAGCGTGTTGTTATTTTTAATTTCTCATTAAAATATAGAATAAATCATCCATCATATTTGAAAGGTCTGTGGGCCGATTAGAGGAGGGATTAAACACTCACTCGCGTCCTGAAAACATCTGTCCCATCAGCTGTTTCACAGCAAAAACAAACAGAAACAAATAAAAACCCAGCGAGGCGAAGCTTGGACCTCATCCGCCTCCCTGAGCGATTCAGAGACCGGCCACCGGAGGCGCGTGCGTGTCTGTCCAGGTCGACGCTCCTGGGCCTAAACCGCACACCATTTCCTGCAGAGGGTTTGATGTAGTCAACAGCCTGATTACACGTTGGCTGATAAACTGGTGACTCATTCATACCAGTGACAGTTATGAGTTCACCAGTAGAGCTGGAAGAGTCTTTTAATCTGAAACAAGGCGTGGGATTCATGAATCCATCTAAATTATACAAGACTGTTGCACATTTATGGCGTAGTAAATGGTATTTTTTGCAGGGCAGTAAGGTTGCGTTTGAGCTTGTGATGCCCGTGAGAAAGGACGGCTGTGGGAGAACATCCTGACCGTATTTCCACACAATTATCCCGATTTAATGTCAGAACGCGGCCCTGTCGGCTTCCTCAGTTCTGACTCACTTGAGGTCACCTGTGGGGCGCGACGTACCCGAAACTGGGGGAAAAATCAAAGCTCGGTTCATCGGAGCTCGATTTACAGTCATGAGTGGAATCCAAACCTCGTCCCTGACATTTACACTCGATGTGTATCGCTCCGCCACAAAGAGTAAAAAGTCAGAGCCGATAGATGTTGAATGACGTGTTTTTACTGGAAACCACGAAGGCGAGAAGACTGCTGAGTGACGTGCTCGCGCTGAGCAGCTTCCTCTGGCCCTGTATCAAAGCGCTGCTAAGTGAACAAACATCTGCTCACGTGGTTTTGAATCTGAATCCTAACTGACCTCCTCCTCTTTCTCTTCCTCCTCCAGGATCGACCAGAAGGTGTCCAACAGCCCGTCCGGTTACAGGCTGCAGGAGGCCCAGGCCATCCTCAGCGAGGTGCGCTCCATCCGCGACGCCATCAGCTCCGGGGAGAAGGAGAAGCAGGAGCTCATGCAGGTAAAGCTGGGTTGGAAGCCTGGACTTCTCACATTTACACTCTCAGCAGGCTTCACGTGTAATTTATGGCTTATTTAAGACTTAACAGTTACTCTGGGACGTCTGGAGAGATGATAAATCTACCTCGACCTGCGTGAAGAAGCAGTTTGGACCAATAAACGGTTAAAAACATCAGACAGCTGTGAGGATGTTTCAGCAGAGTGTGACCTTTCAAAATAAAACCACAGAGCTACCTTGATTCTATGTGCTTCACGCCGGCGTTTGGACCGTCTTTCTTCCTCCTTTCGTTCATCGACAGGAGGGCACTCGATGTTAATGTGCAGCTGAACTTTTGGACGCAGGACCTTGCTTGGCTTGGTTAAAGGTTTGAGTTCAGTTTAGACGAGCTGGGAGCATCGTGTATGTTCATCTTACAGCTGTGCACGTGTGTCACATGATGACCAGGACAGAGGCGATGGTCTTAAAGTGTTCGTGGAGCAGACGCCGTGTGAGTTCAGTCAAAGGCATCGATAAAAAAACGATCAGGTGTCATTCTGTATCGCAGTAACGTGATTGGCATTTCTCACTCTGTAAGAGAACGTCTGCGGTGCAGCTGTTTACGTCATCGCGACAGGTTTTGAGTGGGGGAGACTGACGCCGTTAAAACCGCGAGGCAACGTCGGGCTGGTACGAAACATCAGCGCTCACGTAAAGCATTAAAAATACAAGCGTCTGAGGGTTAGACCCAGATCGGCCAAAGGAAGGGGATCCAGCTACGATTTAAGGAGGTCCGGTTAGAGAAAAACCGCCTTAAAGAATTCAGTGTCTGCGTGCAGTCGAGCTGTCAAATACAACAAAGAACATACATTTAAATGATGAGGAGAGGCTCCTCTAAGGTTTTATTCATGCATTTACAGTGAACTAGCTCAGCTGCTTCCTGTTTTTCTGTTTTCACTCTGTAACTGATGTGATTGGCCGAGCAGCATCACATGGACACAGTTAGAAAGCATCGGTCTGTGTTTCGTCTGTACGTACACCAACATAAAGACAAAAGATTAAAATAACTTGGGCCTGTAAAGATGGGCGCCTGCGTCCAGATCTGGACCGCGATCCACCCGTTGGATCACGGGACCGGGGTGATAACGGCGGCAGGAACCTGAAGGTAAAAAGAAGACGGCGAGCTGGATTACAGAGATGGAAAGCTCGGTTGACTCGCGGAGAAGTCGGTGGTTAAAGCTGCTGCTGAAATGCTCGAGGAGCAAACGGACGTGTTTAATTATCGTTAACGTGAACAAAGCTTTCATTCTTCCTCGCTGTTAATATTAAACTGGTATCAGAGTTTGCACAAAAAGTTGATCCTAATTTTAATCTAAGGCATTTTTAAAGAGGTTTCGAGTCCTGAAGTGTAGCTTCAGCTCCAGGCTCTCTGTTATCTTGTTTTCATGTACTGTATCTTATGTACACAGTGACTCACGCTGAAGTGACTTTTAAAAAGCCTGCAGGCCGTCATGTGTGTCGAGCCGTTTAAAGGCCGCTCGGTCTGCTTTTCTTCTCCCGCAGCTTCAGTTTGCAGCTCTCTGTTTTGCATGAATGACGGCCTCATGGCGACCTACGCCGGTATCTCCCGGCACCCATTCGCTCCTCCACGTCCTTTCATTACAGCATTAACTTGTCCATATTTCCTCCACGGCTGCAGGGGGATTAAAGTTGCATGAAGAGGATGAGGGTTTGTTTACAGGTGTGCACTGAGACGAACTTCGAGTGTTTGATGTGTCGTTTTTTGGGCTCTGATGCAACGACTTGAAAACGTATGCGGTGGTAATTTACGGAGCTGAGGGTGCAGACGTGTGCGTCTGCCGTCTGCATTTGAAGTGCATCATTGTAAAAATTCACTGCGACGCACATAAAGATGGAAACCGTCAGGTGTGCTGTGACTGCAGATTGCTTCGGAGGTAGGAGGAGGAAAGTGTCTTCAATAATAAATAATCTGCTGCCTTCCTCCTTCTGTCCGTCTCCCTCCTCCTCCTCCCCCTCTACCATCTGCAGCTGACAGCTCCGTCTGTCAGGCTGTCTGTTCCTGTGTGTTCACATCGTATATCTGCATGTCAACAACCACACATTTATTTCTGAATATGAGTATATACACAAATATTAAAGGAACCCTGTTCTATCGGAGTACTGCATGAAGTCTGATGTCATCAGTTGGTATCAGAGGGGGGTGTTGATCAGGTTCAGCTGCTTTGGCCTGAATGACGTTAACAAGGTGCACCAGAGAGGCAATGATGACACAAACCCCACAGGGACCGTTTCACACTGATGTCTTTTCGCTGCTGTTAGCGTGAGGTGACCTGGACCCTGCAGAGGCCACACCCTGAGCACATGTGTCAGACGTGGGAGGGTCTGCAGAACGCTCCGCTGCCTGTACCGTCGTTCAGCGTGACCGGTTTGGTGGATCAGTGAAGGTCTGGGGAGGCAGGTCCATGGAGATCCCACGCTGGTGCAGTGGGTCCTGGGTTCCTCCAGCTGCACCACAATGCTCGGCCTCATGTGGGGAGAGTATGCAGGTCCTGGAGGATGAAGGAAGTGATACCACTGACAGGCCACACTCGCCTGAACTGCTCTGTGTAACCTGGCACTCGTTGGATACCTCAGTCCCGCCCAGTCGTCCGGTCGTGTTGGTTTGTTCTCGGCTCTTCACGGCTGATTGCAGGAGGACGGTGCAGGAGATCAGTGACCTCCTCAGTCCCCACATCTGAATCCAGTCCAACGCCTTCGGGAGGTGGTTAAACTGGAGATTTGGTAGCACCAACATTCAGCTGACAGATCTGCAGAGAAGCTGATTTAAAGCGTTTCACGCGTTAATGGAGCTGCAGATAAAACTGTGGGACTGTAAATGCTGTAATGATGGAGGTGTAGTGTTATTTTTCTGCTCCATATAAAAGCGGGGATAAGCTGCAATCCTCAGCACACTTCAAAACCAACCGCAGACTTCATCGTGGTCGTAAAGATGAAAGGGAACGCGGCGGCTTTGGCGGCTGCAGCGCAAACACAGAAGCAGCGTCTCCTTTTTCACTTTCAGGAGTCGCTCCTTCACGGCTGCCCTTTGCCCTGAGCGCCTTTCACTGAGTGGCTCTGTGCAAACAGGCTGCAGTTCATAAATGATTCTCAGCTTCAGTTCCTCGATGATCGAATACGACTCGAGGGCAAAGGTCAGAGCATTTGAAAGGAATGTCGGGCTCACAAACATTTGACTGACACCCTCACGCAGGTGGAATCCGATGGTCTTATTTCTGTGATTTTTATACTGAAATAATGTAATAAGTCACAAATATAAATTGTAATTCACTTAATATATGCACAGGTTTTAAAGGTTTATAGTAGTAACAATAATGATGATGGTGGCTGTTAAGCGTTCTGGGATGCTGTCGTGATTCTGCGCCTCTTTCCTCGCTGCGGTTCGTGCTGTGACCTTCGGCGCCCTCTCTGTTTGTCTCGTGTTCCTGCAGAAACTGGCGGTGCTGAAGGACGGCTTCCGGCTGGACTCGGGCTCGCAGCAGGAGCTGTGGGGCAGCAGCACCTCGCTTGCAAACTCCGACCTGTCCATCCCGCGGCTCTACTCCGACGCCAGCTCGCAGACTGACATCCCCGCCGAGGTAAGCCCCGAGCCGGAGCGCGTGCAGCGCACGAACTCGTTGATTATGACTGTTCGCCATAATTAATTGTCAGATATAATCCAGCGTACTTATAACTCCACAGCTAGTTTTTTTATTATTTTCTTCTTCTTTGGTGTGTCAAGATGGTCGAACGCTGTTGTTGTGGAACATTAGTGGAAGTGGAATCTCACACTGTCCACAGTTTTCAATGAGTGTTGACAGTAAAACGTTGAGTTTTAACCTCCATCGTGCTGTTTCGTTTGTTTTCATTCAGTTCATGACCAGCAGCAACAAACTGGCCGAGAAGGTTCGTGTGAGCCTGAAGTACGAGGAGGCCAAGAGAAGGTAACCGTCTGTCTCTCACTGTCAGCTGATTCAAATGTAGAGCTTAGATAATGATGAGGCTGGAGGTGGATACTAGAAGGAAACCCCTCAGAATCTCTGAGATGAAAAAGTCTGATCTTCAGCACAAAAATGTGAGAAATAATCAAACTAGCGAGACGTCGCGGTGCATTTAAAGTCTGTTTGCTCCTGATAATCTGCCTGATTCTGGGCTTAAAGGGGATTTTAAAGTGTTACGTTTGTTTACGGCTGGAACGACGATTTCTGTTGAAAAAGCTGAAACTGTTTCCTTCGTTTCCTCTCCCAGGATCGCCACCATCGAGGTGCAGATCGCCAAACTGGACAGCGAGGCGTGGCCGGGGCTGCTGGACCCGGAGCGGGACCGCCTCATCCTCATCAACGAGAAGGAGGAGCTTCTGAAGGAGCTGCAGTACATCAGCCCGCGGCAGCGGCTGCAGCCCAACGACGCAGAGAAGCTGGAGTCCGAGAAGAAGCGGCTGGAGCGAGACCTGCAGGCCGCCAGAGACAACCAGAGCAAGGCGCTGACCGAAAGGTGATTAATGTACGACTGTAATGAGAACGTGTGCTGCAGGGTGAGCGCTGATGCTACAAATCACAGTTCAAAACCCAGAGAAACTACTCACACGTGGGAAACGTCGCCCTGACACCGCGGCTTTCATTTTTTCCTGACTTTTAGAACCAGGGTTCGGTTCCAGTCGTTAGTGTGAAAACGCACTTTACCAAAACTTTGTTTGTATGTGATGCGTTCAGGGAGCGTCTGGGTTTGCAGGTTATACTCTGCAGGTTGTCAGCGTCCTGCTGTGTGACGTTTGTATTTTCTCGCCGTGCTCTGGTAACCGTTCCTCCTCCTGTGGTTTGCTGCAGCAGGACTCGCTGTGAGTGCGGTTCCCTCGGTGTACCTCCTGTAATCTGGAGGCGGTATAAAAAGCACAAAGTTGCAAGCTTCAGTGTGTTATGCAACTCCAGCGTGGAGTGATTTACCTTTGCTCGTCATGCACGGTGCAGCGATGAGGAACCTCGTGCACTTGCAGAGGGTGCGGGGCCGGGAACCGATCCGCGGTGGCGACCTGTACGAAGAGCCCGATGGTACGGCAGCGCCTCATCAATCACCTGCTGGTTCAGTTCCTGAACGCATCTGCAGAAACTAAAAAGCAGCTGCAGCGTAAAGGAGGTCAGAGGTGATGACAGGTGTGTGTAAACAGCGTCATTATGTCCTTACCAGCTGGTGATGCAGCTGACCTTTACAGACGTCAGCCCTCCCCAAGGAGCATGAAGAATCTCCTCCTCCTCCTCCTCATCAGTCCCTTGCATCCCTCCTAGCCTCGTAGCACCACTTTCACATTTCCTGAATACCACAGACACCCCCTCCCCCCTCCTCCTCCTCCAACAGGACTCCTGTTGTTCCTGTTCAGGTCAGACTCTACCTGAGCTCAGACTCTCTTTGTGTCGCGTCTCCTGTTCCTGTAACCTGAGAGGCTACACAAAGAACAAGAACCTCTTTTAGTCCACCTTCCCCCCCTTTACACACACACACACACACACACACACACACACACACACACACACACACACACACACACACACACACACACACACACACACTTGCAGGTTCTGGTTTAAAGATTTTGGGCGGTTCAGTCTGAGTGTTGCTCAGGTCTGCCTCCATGTGGACAGCAGGGTTTCTGCAGCTCCTGTCCTTAATGCACATTTACTAATAAAAACTAGTTAAAACTAGTTAAAACTATCTGAATGCCTTTGGTGGAGAAGCACACACTGTAAATAAAAGATGTCCTAGCTTTATTGTGATAAGACGGTGGCGAGAGGACGGAGAAAGACCTCGACCTGCTGTAAGCGGCCTCGGGGAGGACTTCACCCTGCTGCAGGGGTTGTTAACATGCGGAGAGAAGATGGCGGTGTCTCCATGGTGTCCTGATCCTGATGGCGAGGAGTCAGAGGTTTAAATAAAAATGTGTAAAAGGGAGACGTCTGTTTGCACCGAGGCTGTAGATCTCCTTAACTGCTGCAGCTTGTGTGGCGTTCAGGAGCTGCTGTCGGCATCGATTTGTTTCTGTACTGCAGAAACTAAACTGCGTCTTTGTGTTCTTGTTGTTTCAGGCTTCGTCTTCACTGCAAGAGGAACAAGCTGGTCAGAGAGCTGGAGGAGAACGTTCGCCTCGCCACCATGCTGCACACGCAGCTCAAGAGGTTCGTGCTTCTCGTTGAGCTCATTAAAGATAATTAACACGTCTTTAAAGTTTACGATTACTCAGAGAATGATGGAAGAATCTGCAGAAGTGAGACTGAAGTTTCAGTTTCCAGTTTTTTTTTCAAAATAAAGGCTCAAGACAGAATCAGGCATTGAATATGTTAAACCAAATGGGCAGAAATAACAGGAAGTACATAAAAGTGCGTTAAATAAGGGAACGTAAAACGGACTCTGTGTCGCTCATTTTAAGACCTTATTTATAAAAAGACATGAAGTAGAAATAAGGATGCAGAAAAATGATGTGGATCAGTGGAGCAGAAGTGTTTTTGTTAAATGTTTGTGTCGTGGTTTGTTTCTCGTTAGTGGGACAGATTTCTCTCTGCTCGCTCTCAGCGGGCGGTCGACAGATGGAAATATTTGACCTTTAGCGGCCGAACGTTTCCCACAGATGAAAGCGTTTGTGTTGTTATTCTGCTCTTTTTAAAATCAGTGCCGTAAGAAGCTCAACACCACAAGCTGAGCGTTGTCGGCTTCTCCGTCTCCTCCCGAGTTTGGTGGCTGTAACAGGACAGGAAGTGCGCCGCGTCCGGGTCAACGAGCCGTCACGCTTTAATTAGCTTGAGCTGGAGTCGTTTCAATTATTCAAAGAAAAGAAGCAAAGCAAACAAACGTCAACCAAGACTCTTTAAATATGTTTTTGAAATCATAATGAAGCCGAGCAGCGGTTTAACGTTTGAGACGTAGCGCCGCAGATACGAGAAACAAACTTGTGTTTGTAGATGCAGGTGAACAGACTCGCGCTCCAGCGTTGACACGATTGCACCGATCGGCCGACTCACGCGTCACTGTGTCTGTGGTTAACTTCCTCCCTCTTCCTCCTCAGCCTGTCGGCCAGCACCCTCTCCTGTTCGTCCGGCAGCAGTCGAGGCTCTCTGACCTCCAGCCGCGGCTCGCTGGCCACCACCTCCAGCCTTGGCTCCACCTCCTCCCTCAGCTTCACCGACATCTACCTGGAGCAGCCGGAGCTGGCCGACCCGGACTTCCAGAACAAGCTGGACAGCCTCCTGCAGGAGGGCGTCCAGGGAGGGTACCGGCCCTCCAGCTCCATCACCACCATACACGAGCACGAGGTGGTGACCGGCAGCGGCACGAAAGACGCCGGGAGACCCCAGAGCAAGTCGGGAGGCACCGGAGGAGACGCTGGAGGAGGCACAGGGGCTGGCGTGGGGGCGGAGCCTTCCAGGATCCAGGCCCTCAAACTGTCAGAAACCCCGCGCTCAATGAACTCCTTATCCCCGCGCTCGTCTCTCTCCTCGCTGTCTCCGCCGTGCTCGCCCCTGGTCACGGACGCTACCTTCCTGTCAGGCGAGACGTTCGCGGGCCAGTCGGGGGGCTCCGGGTTGGGCCTCGACCTGGAGCTCCACAGCAGGCTGGCCGAGCTGGAGCTCAGGCTGGACTCTGAGGAGCAGCGTCAGGAGGAGCAGGGAGGTCCGGAGGAGAAGCAGAACCACCACGGCAGGCTGGGCGAGGAGGTCAAAGGTAAACAGGAAGCAGCACGATTACACAGCACGATCTGTCTGATGTTTTTAGTCGTTGTTGATCCCAGTCACTGATTCTGGTTTCACTTTGAGTCCTGCTGCATCAGCAATCACACGAACTCCTCAGGCTTCAAAAACTGGAAGCACGTCTTCATCTCACTGAGGACGAACGCTTTTAATCCTCAGTGTTGCTAAGGTGACAGCGAGCCGTCTTTATAACCGCCCGCCATCAGAAACTAGAATGAAAGCTGCGTGTTTGAGTGGAAACGTGACTCTTCATCAGACCTGAGGAGCCTCTCAGCCGCTCAGCAGTCAGGTCTGACTTGTAAAACATAGTCAGGAACGAGTCGCTGTGACAGAGGCCGCTCTTGACTTCAGAGAAAAAGCTTTATTAGAAAGCCCGACTCCAGGAATCCTCCTCCTCCTCTCAGTGTGCGTGATGAGGAATCTAATACTGTGTGTGACACCTGACGGCTGCTGGCAGCGATGAGGAGGGTGGAGGTGAAGGTCTGGAGGGTTTAGGGTTGCAGCTGTTCAGTCTGAAGCTCGTTCTCTGCATCAGGAGACGTGATCGCTGTGATCGCTTCATTGCTCCAGTTTCATTTTTCAGGTATAATTTTGACTTTTATTCATTTTAAAACGAAATAATTGAAAAACTTTTTTCCAGGTAAATCAGTTCAGTCTTTAAAAAAAGACTTTTTCTGATATTTCATCTTCTCCTCCTACATCCTCTCTCAGTACAATCATTTGGTTTTTTCCTGTATTTCTGATGCGGCCGACAGATGCAGGATTTTTAGGCTGACGTTTGTATTTGGCGACTAAAACATTGGATATGTGGGACATTTCAGGGACATAAAACACAAACATCTTTGCCTGACGCTTGTTAGTGTCGTTATTAACGAGTCTTTTCTGGGTTTAATCCTGTTTTGCTGGATTACTCGTTTGCTCGTTTACGCTGTGCCAGCCTGCAGCAGCAGGGCGCCCTCTACAGGACAAATTATGCAACATCAACACCTGTAACACGGTTCACGCATGTTTCTCCCGTTTCTTCTTCTACTCTTACTTTTTTTTTTTTATCGGCTGTTATTGATGCTAATACGATATCGATATCAGCTGATAGCCTGGTGCCGGTGTATTGATCAGTTCTTATTTCTGATCCCTCGTAACGTCATAAATGCCGGAGAGAGCAACATTTTCAGGGTTTAGAAGGACACTTCTTGTCTTGTGTTTTGGATCAGGCGGGGCCTGTGGGCCTGACGTGTTTGTTTTAGGACCGAGTGAGTCGATGAATGTGATGTTTTCACGTTTCACTCCCCTCCCGGGCCCCTTTCTGCACCTGAGCTCGCAGACGTCCCGCCTTGATGTCAGACTGACTGGGACCAGCAACGAGGGCTTTATGGGCAAAAATTCCCCAAATCTCTGCTGGATGTGACCCCTACCACCCTCATCTCCCTCCCCCCATTTACTTCTTTATTTGAGTTTCACTTAAATAGTTAAAATATGAAATAACTCCGCTGCGAGAGACAAGCTGTTATTTTACATGTTTACGTTTTTTGCAGCTTGTTGCACCTTTGTGTGGTTAATGAGAGAGCGGCAGTGAGAGTCAGGCTCAGGTGAAAGCTGCACCTGGTGTCTGGTTTCCTGCTCTTATCAGGTCGAAGCCACACGAGCCTGAAGCCTTTCTCAGGTCCACATCACATGCAGTCCACAGATTATTGATTATATTAGTTTGAATGTGTTGTTTGCAGTGCGGCTCCAGGCCAGGTTTGATTGGTTCACTTCATTGACCTCAGCTCAGGGATCAGATAGACTCGTGTTCAGGTTTCATCATTTTTCTCTACAGTTTGGACGTTTTAGTTTTGTACTTGCACATAAATAACACGAGCGGGAGTCAAAGACGCCACACGTGGTCGCTGTTTCCGCTTTTCAGCGCTTTATTGAAGGATGATTTTGAACTGTGACTCGTGCAAAGCTGATGGAGATTACAATTACACATCAAATTATTTATTTATTTCTCTTCTTTTGGTTTTTTTAGGCTCAGCTTCCGAGCTGCGAGGGACGGGGGCGGGGCCAAAGAAGATTGGGGTGACCTCGGCCGTGTCCGACGAGTCGGTCGCCGGCGACAGTGGCGTGTACGAGCCGTCAGAGCGCAAGTACGAAGGTTTTACATTTGAGGTCGTAGGTTTGTCCTCGTATTGTTACGCTTTTATTTTTCCTGGTCTGGCTCTTTGTTTCAGAAATTTAAAGTTACAGTTTGTTAATAAATGAGTGGCATTGGACGGATTTCCCATAACTGCAGCTGGAGGTTAAAATAACTCTGCGTGCTGTTTCCCGCAGACCCGGCCTCCCCGCTGACCTCCTGCTGAGCTCCTACGAGGACCGCCTGGCGCCCGGCTGCCCTCAGGTGCAGCTCGGCTTCCGTTACGAGGCCAGAGACCGGCGCTTCACCGTCTACGTCGTGCATCTGTCCAACTGCAGCGCCCTCTGTCTGCCGACCGACCAGAAAATGTACGAAGTCTCAGTCTGTGTTTCCTGTCCCTCGAACGTATCTCAGCAGGTTTAATGGCCTCTGCCACGCTGCCGTGTGTTTGAGGCGCTCAACAGAAAAACTCAATACGGTCGTTTTTTTCTTTTCTACGAGGCAGTTTTATGGAATCGGATCTAAAACTAAAATGATTATTTACTGAGATCATAATGAACATTAGAAAACTAAAATACGTGTAAGTATAATCCCAGAACACAGCCAAGCCGCTCCGCCTTTAGCTCCGCCTTTAGCTCCGCCTTTAGGTGATGAAGTAATAAAGTTAATAAAAAAGTAAACAAACTTTTTCTCCAAAGTAAAAAAACTAAACCAGAGGTTGATGCCATGGAGGCTACGTCTATCTTTAGTGTACAGTCTGTAATTTACATCGCGACATCATCGCGTGACCTTTGCCCTTTCCTCCTGCAGGTATGTACGCGTGGCGGTGCTTCCCTGCGTGGAGGCCACTCGCTGCCTCTTCCGAACACGCAGCTCGCCACCTCGAGACGCCGTGGAGTTCAACGAGGTGTTTGGCATGCAGATATCCCACAGTGCACTGCGGCAGAAGACCCTGAGGGTGGACGTGTGCGACACCAGCAAGTCGGGCCACGAAGAGTGTCTGGTTAGTTTCAGTTCGTACGTCACTGTAAAAAAAAGAAGATAATGTTCACTAATCATCGAGGATCTCACCGTTTGTTTGTTAAAGGTCATCAGCTGTTAATTAATCAGCTGTTAACGAGGTTCTTGTCACACACAGTTTAATACATGCTCACGCTCTCTCTGACTCCCTCCTCTTCCTCGCTGCAGGCGGGAGCTCAGATCAGCCTCGCTGACGTCAGCTGTTCGGAGGAGAAGTGCACCAAGTGGTACAACCTGCTGAGTCGTGTCTACCTGCCCGAGGTCAGCAGAAGCCCGGCGAGCGGCCCAGAAATGAGCCGTGCTTCGTTTCCTCTTTCTTCTCATTTTAGTTCCCAGATGTCCTTTTTTCACATTTAGATGCTTTCAGTGAGTCACAACATGAGTTTAACGTCCCTGTGAGGAAATATTGATCATAATAAGTCGTTTGTGCGCACATGAAGAAGGAAGAGGAAAAGTAACAGTTACAATTTTACACATTTCTGTCATTAAATTGATACACGAGTCAATAAAAAGGTCAAAAAGTCTTTAAAGGTGGAGCTGTGAGTGAGACAGAATAGAATGCAATAGAATAGAATAGAATATCCATCACCGAGCTTCAATCTAAATACATAAATCAGATTAAAGGGATAGAAAGTAAGACGCCATGTTGGTTGCAGTAGGGATATAAGAGGAATTCTACTGCTGCACAATCATAAATGCTGTGTGTGTTACGAGTGTGACGGGGATGTCGTTGTTGAATGATCTAAAAAATGTTTGAAGTGATCGGAGGATTAAAAAGTCCTGATGCAACTGTTTGTGTTTCAGACTCGCGTTTCCAGCGGCGACCGAGCCGGAGGGCCTGAGGATGACGAGTGGTGAGTGTTGAGGATGAAAACCTGAGTGATGCAAACTATGAGCGAGCCTCGTGTTCAGTCTGAGGAAGACGATGGTGGCGTAGCGAGTAAGAACGAGTGTCTGTGGTTGGTCTTCATCAGGCATGGCGAGCCTCTGGAGGCGGACATGTTCGAGGATGACGAAGGGCACGGCGCGGAGGGGGCGGGGCCTCTGAAGGACGAGGATGAGTTTTATCCCGAGAGCAGCCAATGGGAAGCAGAGGAGGAGGAAGATGAGGAGAAGGGGACCAAACCCCCTCCTCCTCCGACGGCGGTGGCGGCAGCCGCCATCACAGAGAAGGTAACGCCATTTATTTCAGCTTAAAGGTCAACGAGCCGCTTTGTGTTTAGAGTTCTTCTTCTCTGATAATTGGGAACGCTGACATTTAAGCAGGGGAAGAAGAAGAATCACTTCCCGTTCCAGTGGACCTTTTTCGAGTTAGTTTTTAAGCAGAAGCAGTTTTAGAACTAACACTGTGACGGCGCCTCGGTCGGTGAGCGTCCTCGTTACCGCTGCGGTTCTCTCCTACAGGTGAACAAGGAGACGAGCATGGACAGCCTGCCGTCGCTGCATCACTGCTCCGTGGTTCGGCCCAAAGAGCGGCGCCCGGACGTCCGCCAGCAGAACCCCTTCATGAGGGGCAACACCATCATCCGCTCCAAGACCTTCTCGCCCGGACCTCAGAGCCAGTACATCTGCAGGGTAAGTGAGACCTACGCAGGATTTGCGCCGATGGTGACGCTGTGACCTCATTAAACGCTCGATTTTGTCCTTGCAGATTAACCGCAGTGACAGCGACAGCTCCACGCTCTCCAAGAAGTCCCCGTTTGTCAGAAACGCCTCCGAGAGACGCAGCATGCGCATGAAGAGGGTAAAGACTCCGCCCCCTCACCTCTGCATCACTGCAGAACCATTATACATTAGCTAGCGTCACGCCTACTTTGTGTGGCGGATGTAGACAAAAGAAAGTAGTTCCTTTGTGAGACTCGTCATTGAAGCTTTGTTGGTATTTGTTGAGCAAGTAACTCTGCTAAAGTAGCTTTGCATGATTCACAGTTCATAATAATCCTAGTTTATCTGATACTGAGCTTCGGTGCAGCACTGTCTATAATGAGCCATTTTAGCCCCTCCCCCTTCACCTGTGACGCTCGGGTCCCGTGTTTCAGCTTCAGTGGTGCGGTTTCTCTCGTCTTTCTGATCCTCCTGCTTCTCGACTTCTTGAAAGTAATACCTTCACATTTGCTGACCGCATTAAGACAATTTGCATTTTGTGAGGCTTTAAACCTCCTAACGACTCCCAGTGAAGCGACTCTTAATATTTAATGACCGTCTGAATGTTTAATGCAGCGCTGACATTTGCCAGTTTCTATTCATTTAAAGTCGAGGCAGCAGCTTCGGCCTCTCGGGGCTCCACGGCAGCAGGTGTTGGTGACAGTATTTGCAAATAGGTCGAGGTGTTATTAAACACTCGGGTGACTTTTAAGCCCCCTCCAGAGATCGAGGACTTTACAGGCTTCATCGCTGATGGCTGCACTTAAACCTGCGCAGACGTAGCAGGACTGTGTGCGTCGAGCTGTGGTCCAGCCCTGGTTAAGTTTAGATCAGCCTCACCCTGATGTTTGGATTCTGTTAGCTTTGGGTTTGTTTTTTTATGCATTTTCTTTCTTTGCCCTCGGCTCAAACTCAGCCTGTCTGACTGACAGAACCAGGCAGCAGAAGCACTGTGACGTTGTGAGTTTGTGCTGCAGCGGGCAGAAAGTCGATGGTGTTACTGTTGCACTCGTTCAGTTTCTGTCAGATTCTCTGTCACATTTTTAAGAGCTCGTCAGTTCATAGTCGATGATTTTCCAGCAAATTTGTGTTTTGTCCTCGGCACTTAACTCCGCCCCTTCATCCTCTCTCAGCCTCCTGTACCCGTTAAAGGTCTGGACGGGCTGCTGCGGACCTCTCTGGACCTGGAGCTGGACCTGCAGGTGTCCCGGACGCGGCAGGCTCGGCTGGCGCAGGAGCTGCGGGTGCTGCGGGAGCTGAAGACGCAGCTGGAGAAGGCGAGGCAGCAGGGCCAGAAAGAGCTGCCCGCCTGGGTCCAAGAAGACGAACGCTTCCGGCTGCTCCTCAGGCAGGCCGAGAAACAGGTGAACTTACCGCCGAGTGTCCAGGCCTCCCGTGGAGCCTCTGTCCACGTGTTACATGGTGAAATCAGTGTCTGTGTCCTCGTTTGCTCTCAATGTGCAGATGAAACAGATAATCCTCCAGAGGGCGCTTTCTTTCTTTTTTTACTGTCACAGTATAGTTGTCCCGCTGGAATAAAAACTCTCTGCTTTTGTTCTCTTCAGACTCGAGAGGAGCAGCAGCAGGAGAAGAGGGTGGAGAAAATGATGAAGGCCGCAGCCAAGGACGTCCACAAGATCAGAGGCCAGAGCCGCAAAGAGGTCCCCGAGGTGCAGACCTTCAGGTACGAAAAGCACCGTCACCACCACAGATTCATTCGTGGGGCAGTTTGAAGGTGGCGACCTCATCGCGCACGATGATGATGTCACTGTTTGCTGTGTGTGGTTTCAGAGAGAAGATGGCGTTCTTCACACGAGCGAAGACCTGCATCCCCGACCTGCCGGCCGACGACGTGTAGAGAAGCATTTCAAAGTATTTTCCTTCCGGAGTCGTTCCCTGCTGTTCCCTCACCGACGAAGCAAACGTCTGGCGGTATTATGAAGAATTAAAATAAATGATAATAATAACACTGATAATAATAATAATAAGTAGGAAAAAACCTTTGAAACCGTGGAGAGAGTAATTTTAAAGAGCTCAGCATTTCTAATGTGGATAGTCTTTGTTTGTAAATTAGCGATAGCACTGCTGGAGCTTTTGTTTTTTCCTTTTTTATTCTCGTTTCCACTTTTGTTTTTGTTCCTGTTACTAACCGGCTGTTCTTAGACTCGTAGGTGTTTAAAATCATTCCAGCACAGAATCATACAGTCACACATGAGCATACGAAGACTTTTGTACTGAAAATGGCACAAAATCAAAAATGGTACTCAAAGGAAAATTCAGCTGCAGCTTGAAGATATTTAATATTGACCTTCAGATGATGTGGGATTAGTTTTTTATTATTAGAGTATTTTCTGAGCAGACAAACAGCACAGTGTTTAATTTTTGTGTTTGTTTTTAAATGCGGCTCTCCCTACACAACAACAGTGAAACACTAAAACATGTTTGTGCAGACGAATCGCCGCAGTTATAATCCTTAAGATTTTTAATCCAGGTCAGGTTATTTTCTACACAGACGTGAAGTTTCTGCTGGTTAAATGATCAGAACAAAAAACAAGCAGCTGTTTCTTAGAGCAGGGCAGCTACAACTCCCAGGATGCATTTCAACAGGAAGCATCCAGTCAGATTCATTTTAAGGAGACGATAAAGATTAAGTAAAGTTAAATAACCTCAGATTATATCCCGTCCAATCAGGCAGGAGAAAGTTTTTGGATCATGTCCAATTGTCATTCATGTGCCTGTTTAAACCTTAAACATACCTTTGAGTTTTTTATGGCCCAGTGTCGATTAAATAGGTTTTTACTACGCTGTTAAACTGTAAGGAGGGCGTAGTAAAGTCCAGAGGCCAAAAAGACAACAAATCACATGTTATGGCTCATTTATAAAGAGATTTAATGCACTAAATCTACAGTTTATTGCAAAATGAGGCACTTAAAAGTTGCTTTTTTTATGTTGTGAACATAAGAGCCGGATTTTTAAAGTGACAAAGACCAAAACTGGAGCGAAGAGAGCCAAAATGCAGCATTTGTGTTCAGCTAACGCCGCACTTCTTTAGGTTTCCTGTGTGTCGCATATTTATTATTAATCATCCATCACTGAGGAAATTCACCTGTTACAGCAGCACAAGAGTCAGGAAGAAAAAGTGAATTAGAGACTAATAAACATAAATACTATACAGGAGTAATTGGTACCATGTACAAATGGTACTGTAAACAGTGAAACGGACTAAAATACACGAGAGGACTGGAAGACGGCAACATTTTGCAACATTCTGTCCAAACACATTTTTTTTACTCTTAGTTCTATATGATGTCACACAGAGGGGATTTCCCTAATATGGCCATCTCAGGCTCCACCCAAAAGAAAGCCTTCCTCAAAGGGGAGGGGCTAAAACAGCTTCCTTCACAGAGAGGATTAACTGAGCGGCTGCACTGAGGTCCAGTGTGCCATAAAGAAGGATTTTTTTAACTGTTATTAAAGCATAGCTGCTCTCTGTGAGTCGAAGAGTTAAAAATAAGCTGCCACACTTACTGCCAAACTGACCTGGACTGAAATCTTAAGGATTATCTTCATCTTCAAACACTGGCACAAACTGTACGTTTTCTGTAAACTGAGCGACGTCGTGCTGACGGCACAGGTGGTCGTAGCACGTCAGCGTGGCCGCACGATAGCAGCTCAGAGGAGATTCTGAGCGTAATCCGTAATCATCGTCTCTCGTCACACAAACACATCGGTGTAGAAACAGCACTAACTCGCACTAACACTCAGGTAGTTGATCGGGTAGTTTGCACTTTAAGAAAGTTGAGGTAGAAGTTTGAAAAAAGAAAAACTTGATGTGGGTTTTTGGAAAGTTAAACGCCTGGAAACCTTTGCCTCACGCTGGAACGATTTCTGATTGTCGGAACAGGAAGTGATCTCAAACGCATTTCTGATGACTGTGAACTTGTTATTGATCGTATGATTGTTTGACTGGAAGCGACTGAAAAAAAACTGAGTCGTCAGCCAATAGGAAGACGGAAGTCCAGCTTTGCTTCGTAAGCTCCTGCGCTTCTCTCTGATTGGCTGATCAGTTTTTGCAGTTTTAATTTCAGACTTCCTGCCCTCACGTTTCCACCTGTAACTGGATGTTTGTGAAGCATTCAGTTCTATTAGAACTGGACCTTCTGCACTTAAAACTGTTGGATGGTGTTAGTGTGGTGCCCCAGCAAAACTCAGCATGTCGCCTTTTTTTTCCTCAGCTGGTTATTTAAACTGTTTTTCTCCTCGTTTCAGTCTGTTTGAAGCTCTGAAACGAGGAGAAAGACACATTCAGTGAACTTATCGATGCATTGAGCAGCTAAAGAGCCTCCGGAGTTGGTAAATATTAGAAAAACGTCACTCCCAAAGACTCCTGACACGTTCTATATAAACTGATGTTTAATGTAGTGTTTACATAAACAAGCAAACAGAAATCTGGCACAGGAAATGTTTTACTTTTCAGTATATGGAGGATTGAAGGTGCCAAAATAAACAAAATATGTGACTGAGTGAATAATAAAATGACATTAAATGTTCGAAAAAATAAATACATGTAGGTATTTATTAATTTGTAAAATGTGACATGAGTTATTATTTTTAAATTAATTTTATGCAGAAATACAGGGAAGGTCAGTAAATGCCTTGAATGTTGAAGAATTTTGTTGTTTTTTACATTTGTAATTTATTTATTAATTTGCTTGCTGTTCCATTATTATTTTGGCGGTTTTGATCCTCCATACTGGCATGTGTCAGGAAGTCTTCTCCAAAATAACGATTTAAAAGGTGGAAAATTCTTCACATGGAAAACATTTAACGTGAATTCTAGATTATTATTACAAAATGTGGGATTATAAACTACCTGCTGAACATGGAGCAGATGATTTATTCAGGTGGTGGAGACCAAAAATGGAGCTAAAAATGAACGCTGGGCCTTGAATGGTCACTAAAGTGCCTGTGACTGCCTGATGTTGTCACTCTGTAGCTGCTGAATGCAGAAATAAGCGGCTGTCTATTGAATGTCCGACTTTCCTTCTTGCTGGGCCACCAGGCTGATGGTGTCGGTGCATTTTGTTCTTCGTGTTTCCATTCCCCGTGTAAAGAAGAACGTAGCTGACGAAAACCAAGCTGCTGCTGCTGCTGTCATTCCAGATGTTTCTCTCTTCTTCTTTTTTTAACTCTGTGTAGAGAAACAGCAGCTCTAGGAAATGATTGAGGTTTTTTTTATATTGTCCAATTTGACCGTTTACCTTCGTCATCTCCACTTCCTGTTGCTGCCCAGTCTCTGTGAGTGTTTTCAGTCCTCATTAAAGCGTCAGATAGTCCCACCACATCCAGGTAGGAGTAGATATATTTTTCTAGAATGTATGTAATAAGATTGAAATAACGAGACACGAATGACTTCTGAAAGAGCCTCGGTAGGATGTGAATCTGACCCCATCGCCCGACATCAGTGTGAACAGTCAGTGAAAAAGACCAAAACCAAAGATTTAAAAGCTGATCCCCGTCCTCTGACGTAAAACGATTCAAACCCCTTCGTCACGAGGTGTTTTTGTAATTTTACCCTCTGCTACGGCACGACAGAAAATCAGACGCTGGAAATAGTGAGCTGCTAGCATGTGGTGCTAAAGCTAAGCTAACACCTGCCAGTCAATACCATCCTGAAACTTCCCTTGGTTTACTCTCAGACTGCTGATGTCACCGTAAAGATGCAGCCAGGTGTTTTTTGTTTTTTCTTTTTAAGGTACTTGATGTAAATTTCAGGGTTTAAAAAAATACTGTAAATGTTCCAAAATTAACTAAAGACAACATGAAGAAACGGCTGCTTTGACCTGATCTGCACACTGAGCATTTTTTATCATTGAAATAAGGCTCAACTCATTCAGCAAACACTGCCCCCTGGTGGTGAACATTTTAGTTAGTCTGCAGAGGGGAATTACAAAAAGTTACTTTTAATCGTACACTTGCTCATCAGACCACTTCGAGCTTTTGCATGTTTTTTTTTGCCGTCTGGTGTATTTTTTTTATGAATCAAAAAAAGCTGGTAACGAGAAATGCGTCGTTGTTCTCAGAGTGCAGATCAGCTGTAGATTCCAGTTTGTGCCGACTGTTCGCACTGAGAACTGAACGAACGTTACGGAGTTGGGCGTGCTGCAGGGCGAGCAGCGGGTTCACTGCAGCTCTGGAGATGTTTTTGTTTAATGTCCAACCGAGCCGCCGTCGGTGGGTGTGTAAGAAGACTTGGAGGAACTTTCATTTTTTTAATATTAGCCATTTTTTGTTTGTCCTCTGTCTCCTCGAGTAGATTGGACCTATAGGAATTCAGCGGTTAACCTCTGATTAAAAAAGACTCGTTTATTTGAAACATCTGGATGAAGGAATGTAGGTTTTTTTTTAAAAACAAATGCTGTTAGCCACAAATGATTCTTCTTCATCACGTAGGCACATCTTTGGTTTTTTTGTGCTTTTATGTTTATTTTATCTGATGAATCTGTTCAAACCCGGTGATGCGTTTGCAGGCGGCTACGAGAAACACACTGCATGTATTTATTGCACTTCTGTGATTTTTTTTTTTTGGGGAGGGGGGGTACTTTTTTCCTGTTTTGTTTTTTTTTCTTTTTCCTTTTTATCGTAAGAGTCCTGAAAAGCTGTGAATTTTATTCTCAGACACTGTACTGTCGACCAGAGTTGTAAATATTTCACCAGCACAAAAAACAAACGATATGTTTTGTAGTTTCACAACATATAAAAAAAGTTCTTCTCTTCTACTCGTGTGTTGTGTGTTTTTCTTTCTGACCTGAAATCCATGAGAGCAGAGATGATAAAGGCAATTTTATTTCTCTGAAATCCTAATGATCAAAAGAGGTTTCAAGATGACTATTAAAATGCTGGTATCTGAAAACTTGGCATTAAATTGTTGGCTTGCATGTCTAATTAGCTTAATTACTCCTGTGGGACACCACAGGGTTCTGGACTTGGGCCCTTTTCTTTTATTATATGCTGACAATTTTAGGACTACATGCCAGTCATTAACTGGAGAGAAGGAAAAAAAGTGATTTTTTTAAATTATTTTTTTAAATACATTGTATTGTTGAGCTGATATGAGCGGAATCACATCATCTACAAAAAAGCAAAGATTTGATCCTGAGACAAAACCAGTCACTCTCCAACCAAAGTAAAAGGTAAAGAGATTCAAGACCAAGATTTTCTTCATGCAAACACACCAGCTTATTGTGCTCGTTTTCTGACACCGTATCGATAACAGTGATACATTGATTTAGTAGATAGAAAAAAGTTAAAATGTTTAAGAGCTGCAGCTCTTTGTAAGTTGACCTAAAAATCAAACTACGCACACAAACAAGCAGCAGGAGAGAGGATGACATCCCCCTGAGACCATCTATTTGATCTTTTTAACCCTCTCAGGCTCAAATTAAGTTTTTTGTTGCTATGCACAACCAGGTCCTGCAGTGGTACTTCTGAGTAAAAGAAACTCATAAAATATGTGTGTGAGGTAATCAGGTTGTTAGTTTTTAACTGTTGCAAATCGGCAACGCCTGCCTCAAGAGGGTTAATATTTTAATATATTCATCAAATTGATTTCATATTGTTTACATTTATAATTGGTAATACTACCATGCACATTCAGTGCAACATCACACTGCTGCAAATGCATGTCTGTTAACTGATGCCAGTCCAACATCTTATATTCTTCGTATCTTTTGTAAGTCTTATCGTGCCAGTGGTTGTGTTTTTAGTGATACTTACCACATGACACACATAAAAGTCATTTTGGCTAAAACATCCACTGAAATCGCGCCTGGACGCTCCGATACAGCAGGAGGCGCTCTCAATCCGGCGCAATGCAGCGAGGAAGAAGCGCTCCCCGGCACCGGAAGTGGACTGTAAAGTTACGGGCTTCTTCCTTTCCTCCGGTTTGTATTTCGTCAGCCACGAGATTCCAAGTCCAGCAGGCAGAAGAGTTTCTCCGCAGAGCTTCAGGAACATGGGAGACCCTGTGACCGAGTACACGGCCCGGCTGCAGCAACAGGTCAGCGGTTAATGCGAGCTGTAGGGCTAAATGCGCATCCTGCCGCCGGATAGCAACATTCCAAAGTTCTGCCAGACTTAATGAAAAAAAAGTACTAATTTAAGACTTTTTGGCTTTTTATTGAATAGGTGCAGTGTCGAGTAAACCAGACATGCTTCGATTGAATATCTATGCATTAGTGTCAAATTCGGGTTAAGTTTGTTAAATCAAACGTGTCTTGTTGTAGTCGGAGGTCCCTTTGATTTGTTCGAGGACACTGCTTTGACAGCGCATGAAGGAGGAATGGCATGAAGAGTTTTTACTTGTTAAAGAGCTGTGCTTCGTTATTGTAAGTCACATATATGCCGAACTTACCAGATGTGATTGGCTATCACCTGTGCACAGTGGAGCCCAGAAAGATGAGTGACTACTGAAAATGAAAGGAGGAGTTAAATCGGAAGATTTTTAAATTGAGTCTGGCGAGAACATTTTTCTCTACTTAACCCTGGCATCAAACTTATTTTTCAGAAAAATAAATATTTCACATTACTTTTTGGGAGCTTTTATGATATATGATATGTATATGAATCAATAAATTACCCCACCCACCCACCGTAAGGACATATTCTGTACTTAAGTAGAAGTGCAGATAATCCTGTTTTAAAAATAAAAAAAGTACCAAGTTTGAAATGTACTAGTAAGAAAGTATAAGTATCTGCTTGAAGGACATTTTTACCACCTGTTTTTATGCAAAGCTACTGAACCTTGTGCTTTATTGACATAATGATAAAATAATATCAGTCGTTGGGAATAGAAACTTTTTAATTCTAATTGTAGTTTGAATCTGAAGAAAAATAAGGAAAATAGAAGAAAGCTGTATTTTGTGTTACCTACATTGTAGAGGGTGACTTTGTGTTTAAACAGGAAAATGTGTCCAGTCAGGCGTTAAAGTGGATTCAGCAGGTGGAGGAATCCGTTGTCATGCCTCTGTGTGGGGAAAGAATCACAACTCATAATAATTTCTATTGAGAGCTCCAGTAGATTTTCTTAGTGTACAGGCTGTGATCAGCTGACCTGCTGCTCTCTGTGGATGTCCACAACTGAGGTCAGCCAGATGTGAGCAGATGTTTCAATAGTAGTCCTGGCTGATTTCCATCCTCTACACCCACAGTACACTGTTTATGCTGTGTTTCTACGTCAGAATCACAGCATCATCAGCTAAACTTTATATGAATCTCTGCTACACTTGATGTAAGCTAACTGTGACCATGAACCCACAGCCACTGTGCACCAGTCACACACGGTTCTCCACTTTAAATCCACCACATTGCAGCAAAGTAACCTGTTTATCCTGCACTAACCTGCAGAGTCACATATGTGAGGATTTTTTCATGCAGCCTTTAAATTACAGTTAGTCTGCCTCAGTTTGTTTACTAGCATGTTTCACAATATGAAAAAACATGATGTCACATTTACCCAATATCTGATATAAA